AAGAAAAGTGAGAAGACTAGAAATTTAATTTTTGAAAGTTTCTGTGGGAACAGATCGAGGAAAATAAGTCGCGCAAATGACCGAGTTAGGTTTTAAGTTTTTAGTTTGAATTACCACAATATCTAGATCTGACACGAACGTTAGTTTTCTGAATTTAGTTTTTTTCCTCAGAATGATTGCTACCCCATAAGTACCCATAAGTTCTGTTTTTTTTTTTTCTATTATGCTAAAATCTATAATGTTTCTGTGGTGCTGCTCATTTGAATGAAAAATCTCACTCAAGCAAGCACCATCAAAATTGTAATTCTTCTTCTTCTTCTTCTTTATTGGCGCTGTAACCGCCTAAGCGATTTTGGCCGAGTCCAAAACAGCACGCCAGTCATTTCTCTTCTGTGCTAACTGACGCCAATTGGAAATGCCAAGTGAAGCCAAGTCCTTCTCCACCTGGTCTTTCCAACGCAGAGGAGGCCTTCCTCTTCCTCTGTTACCAGCATCGCGGCCCGCGTTGAATATTTTCAGAGCAGGAGCGTTTCTGTCCATTCGAAGGACATGCGCGGAGCCGCTGAATTTTTTATCGCTGCACTATGTCCATATCGTTGTAAAGCTCATACAGCTCATCGTTAAATCGTCTGCGCTATTCGCCATCACCAACCCGTAAAGGTCCGTAAATCATTCGCAGAATCTTTCTCTCGAAAACTCCAAGAGCCGCCTCATCAGATGCTTTCATTGTCCATGCCTCCGCGCCATACACTAGCGTAGGCATGATGAGTGACTTATAGTGTGATCTTTGTACTTCTCAATTGCCTACTCAGCCCAAAGTAGCACTTGTTGGCAAGAGTGATTCTCCGTTGGATTTCAAGGCTGACATTATTATTGGTGTTAATCCTGGTTCCCAAATAAACGAAGTCGTTTACTTTTTCAAACTTGTAACTGTCAGCAGTGACGTGGGTGCCAAGACGCGTATGCTCTGACTGTTTGTGTGATGGCAGGAGATACTTCGTTTTGTCCTCGTTCACCACCAGACCCATTCGCTTTGCTTCTCTATCCAATCCCGAGAAGGCAGAACAGACGTAGCCCTTGTTTTTACCGATAATATCGATGTCGTCGGCATACGCCAGCAATTGTACGCTCTTATAAAGTATTGTGCCTGAGCGGTTCAGTTCTGCGGCTCTTATTATCTTCTCCAACATAAGATTAAAGAAATCACACGAAAGGGGGTCCCCTTGTCTGAAACCTCGTTTGGTATCAAACGGCTCGGAGAGGTCCTTCCCTATTCTGACGGAGCTGGTGGTATTGCTCAACGTCATTTTACACAGCCGTATTAGTTTCGCGGGGATACCAAATTCAGACATCGCGGCATAAAGGCAACTTCTTTTCGTGCTGTCGAAAGCGGCTTTGAAATCGACAAATGATGGTGTGTGTCGATCCTATTCTCGCGGGTCTTTTCCAAGATTTGGCGTATTGTGAATACCTGATCTATGGTGGATTTTCCAGGCCTAAAGCCACACTGATAAGGTCCAATCAGCTCGTTGACGGTGGGCTTCAGTCTTTCGCACAATACGCTCGATAAGACCTTGTAACCTATGCTTAGAAGGCTAATTCCGCGGTAGTTGGCGCGTATGGCGGGGTCGCCTTTCTTGTGGATTGGGCAGAGCACACTTAAATTTCAGTCGTAATTATTTAGGTAAAATTCTATTCTATTTATGCTTGCTTTTAGCGATTGGCAATTATATTGTAAGAGTTTAATTTGTGTCAAGGTTCGGGTTTGAAGCTCTTCTAATAGCTTTTCAGGCCTGTATACGACCTCTTCCGCTACTTTCTTTTTTGGCCTTTCCGCTGACCTGTCAGCTACCCTGTGCACTATTTGCTATTCCGTTCTGGGCAAGCGAGCTACCGCACTATACTTGATTCTAGGTGACTTTCTATTAATCTCACTGCCCCTGTTTTTGGCGATTTTGTCCTCGTTTGTTAAGTCTAGGAACTCCGCTTTATCAACTGCGAGCATATTAAACCGATTTTCGTTGCTAGGGAAGTAGGCTTGGAGGGTCTCCCTCCTGGAAAGTTTTTTTACTGCGCGTATGTAGTAACAGACTTTTCCTTTTCCCAAACCTCACATGACTGCTTGTCGGAAGCTGTGTGTGTCGTTCGCATTCCCACATAAAATGCATTTCTTCTCACAGGAGTTAGAATCACAGCTATTTCGCCCACATTGAACACACCTTTTCTTTGTTTTGCAGGCATACTGCGTGTGGCCAAGCCTTCCGCAGTTCAGACGCTGCCTTAGAGGAGGTACATAGAAGTCGACGTACAGTTTTGTGTAGTCAAGTATGATATACTTTGGAATTTCTTTATTTGCAAAGCAAAATTTCTCTGTGGTCATGGGGACAAATGTGTTGTTTTCAGCCTTCCGCGTGAACCGCCTGACTGAAGAAATGGGGATGCTCGAGATCGTGTTGGCCTTTAATTCAATATCAGTATATGAACTTGGTATACCCCTAACTACGCCATAGGGTTCTAGGGCCGTTTTCGAAACGAAAGGCCTTAATCCCGTTGCCTTGATTTTAGAATTTAACAGAAAGTTGTTTACAGTTCTTAAATGTAATTTTATACAGACTTTTCCCTAACGCTTCAATTAGGTCCATATCTTTGATACGTAAATGTTTAATCGCGTTAACCCGTTAGTAATTTTTTCATTTGGTATTTCTTGGCATTTAGCCGTGTCAATTAGTACGAAAATAGCACCTGCAAAGTCGGAGGGGTACATAACCTCATTTGCTTGATTGTTCGGCTTGTTGTCCGTCGTCACTGTACTGTTTTCTGTGTTGTTTGCCGCCAACGCTAGCGGTTCTCGACATTCCGTTACCTTTCCGTTGTCTGTCACTTCTTCGTATTCTATTGCCATTTCATTATCACTAACACTATCACCCTCATTGTTACTGATCTTCCTCTCACCGGATGTATTCAAGGAATGCCCGAATCTCATGAGCTCATTATTTTTTAGCATTTTCTCTAAGGTTTCCTCTGCTTTTTTTAACTTTTTCCCCTCACCCTATTGGCTTTCGAGAGGGCTTCCACAGACCCTGCAGCCGGCGACGCCATATCAGCTTTGGCTTTTTTTGCTGCCGTTGCCGGTAGTCTTATGCTTATAAAAAACCACTAATTAACACAAGTCTGTCTACACGCACTTCACAATAATATAATTATAGCAAAATAACTCACCAGAGCCGTTTATCACTTCTTGCCGTAATTTAGTTGTCGTCCAGATTAAAGATAAGCAAAAAACCCAAAAGCGAAAATGGGCATTTGTTTGTCTTTATGCTATAAGCGTTCCGCTATAGCATAGATATGTATGATACTAAAAGAACTAAAGTTACTGTACTTAGCACTTCAGAGTGCCTATGCGCCAGAAGCTAACACAAGATAATTATCGCTGCGCCAAACACGTCCAGCCTCGTTCACCGACGAAAACGAAGTCCCCCTTCACGAGTTTAAGGGAAGACCTTAAATAACTAAGCGTTACTGTTAAGTTGAGCATGTCTCTAATCCTTGTCTAATCCATGCCTACACCTTACCACTTACTTTAGTAAGGATTGTACCTGCATTAGACAAGGACTATAGGCATAAGTACGGTGACCATATTAACCAACGTAAAATAAAGGACAGTTTTTTTTCAAAATGATTTGGGAATACGTACATAAAACTCGTATGATAAAAGTTCCGTACCCATATCTTAATTTAAATCAAATATTTACAGTTAATTGTAATATTTAATTGTACAAGTTCCCCTGTTGTAGCCAAAAATGAAGCCAAATCCTTTTCAAGGACTTCGCCATCCCTTCAAAATTTGGAATTTAATGTTCATAATCCACCGAAACCTTAATTTTTCAACCAATTTTTACCAAAAAGCAAACAAATAAATATTTAGTTTAGAGAACATTTTTTATAAAATTTAAAATTTTTTTTTGTTTTTTTTTTTTGTTTTGGGAGAACCGTACAATTGTTATCAACTAGTTTTTTTTATGTAACATTTATTAACTGGAACAGGAGAGTACATTTTCTTCAAAAATGTTACTTTTTCTGCATTTTGCACAAAAAATTTAATATAATCAAATAAAAATTCAGAAATCAGGCTTAACTGGTCTCTTGCAAATATTGTAAGCTTTCATAAAAAAATAAAAATTAATCAAATGAAATGAAAAATGAAGGCTCCAGTGAATTACGAACACTAAATGCCGGTTTTGAACCACTAAGCAGCAGGGGGTTTATTGTTCTCTTTCAGTGGAACTGGAAACTCAGCGTGCAACACCATCCTGGGCACAACTTTCCCTGTGCTTTATAGAATGTACAAAGATAACCGATTAAATAGAAACCCTTAGGTGAGGTGCGAAATAAACTGGGGAAGGTTTTCATTATATTTTATAAGGGACATTTTTATTTTTTATATTCTCCGTTAAAAAATACCTCTGAATAATGCAGAGCCGATTTAAAGGACAGTTTAAGAAATAAAGGACAAAAGGCGTCCTTTATTTTGAAAAAAATTATAAAGGACAGGGGGTTAAAATAAAGGACTGTCCTTTAAAATAAAGGACGGATGGTCACCGTAGGCATAAGCCACTTAACAGCAGTAAGGGTTTTAATTTTTCGAATTTTGAATTATGTCGTTATAGCACCGGACCATCTAAAAATCTAAATCTATAGAAACTCTTATCTTAAAAGAACAAACATTTGTATTGCCATTTTTACACGTTTTATACTTTTTTAAGAACTTCTTTTTTAAGTAATTTTTACGAGCATATAAACGAAGCCATACCAATTTGTATGTACTTAAATTTCGCATGAGATAATTTAGTTTTAAACATTTATATGAAAGTGAAATGTATTAGCAAAATTTTATATCGTCTAGACTATACTCAAAACACAAATTTGTGAAAATTAAAAAATAAATATTTATATGTATGTGCAATGTTGTAAATAACCATTCTATTATTATTTAAACTCACCTTTATGTCCTTTAGCGTAAGTATGTCGGTGGAGAAAGTGGAATTCACCACAGACGGCTTATTTTTCACGCTGGGGAAAATGATGCCGCCTTTGCGTGAAAGTGGCTTTGCCGAAGTCGATGTAGTTGTGGCTGCCGATGAAACAACGGCCGATGAAGCACCCATGCTACCAGCAGAATTAGCAGCAATTTGTGCCGCGGTGACCGTATACGATGAGACAGTTGGTTGGCTGGCAACAGCTACCGGCGGGCTGGGCGTAGTAGTGCCCGCTGTAGTGTACGCACTTAGTGAGGCCGTTGTTGCGGCCACAGTAGGCGGTGGCGCAGTTGAGGTGCCCGTTGCGCTTGTGGAAATCGGAGTGGTGGGCATATTCGTCTCGGGGTACTCATCGATGACGGAATAGCTGTCAGAAATGCAAAATAAAAAAAATGTAATCAAATGTCCAAATACACCAAGCCATTAAATATTTACCGATTGGGATCATATTCGACAAGTCGATCGATAGTGGGATCCATCAGCAGCTCAGCTGGCACTGGTCGTTGCGCCAGCAGCTGAACATCGTCTTCCTGTTTCTTCAGACGCTTCTCAACCATATCCAGGTTGTTGATAATTTGATTCGTTTTCGCCTTTAGATCGTGATGAATCTCGCCAATAGCACGCTCCTGTCGCTGCGTCTGCGTTAGCAAGGCATCGGACTTGGGTAGCAAGTCATTGATAACCGACGACTTTGTGCCCACCACAACATCCCACACTTCGTCCATTTTCTCTGAAACCGAAACCATCGGTCGTATTTGCTTCACCAACGCGTCGATCTTACTCGATTTTATGATCGGTAACGACGTCGTGGTGGCATTCAATGCATTCAACTGCTCCTGATGATCCACCACCGCCTCATGTATATCACCCACCATACGCAACATTCGCCCCACATTCTCCGATACAATATTTATGTGAAATTGTAGCTTCTTGTCGATGTTGTCGGTAGTGTCCCGTAATTCATTCAATTCCGAGGACACGTGATTCATCACCTCGGCATTCATTGCCTTCGTTATCTCTACCACATTCATGCTGATCGGTTTTTTCTCACTCGCTTCTACATTAATGTCGTCCACTTGCAGGAAATTATTATCGATTTGTGTTTTGAGCACCTCAAGCTTAGTGTCGATATCGCTAACCTTTTGATCGAGCAACAGCAAGCGATTGTCCAGATGCTCTGCCGTGGCCATATTGGCAATACGCGCCGAGCGGCCACCACTGCCATCTATAGAGGATGCATGTATATCGTTGGTGATTTTATTATCTAGCGTGCGCAGCTTGGAGATGACGGCATCGGTTTTGAGTAAATTGTCCGCTACACGATTGTCTAGAGCTTCCATGCGCTTTACCATGTGCTCGACCGATTTGTCGAGGCTATCGATACGTTTAAGTTTGCCCTCGAGCGTCGAGATAATCACCTCGAATATGTTGAGAAGCTGTTGTTCTCTGCAAGAAGAAAAATTTTGAAAGAAGTAAAAACATCAACTGAAAATCGTATGCATACGGATATATGTACATATTTATTGAATAAAAATTCCTAATACATAACTATACAAGATTTTTGTGAAAATTTTAGAGGTCGTTAATTTTTCGTTGAGAAATTTCAATAAATACAAGAAGTGGAACCCCGAAATTTGTCTTAGAGTCTGGGTCTAAAAATCAGGCGCAATTTCGCCATAGTCGTATTCTCGATGAACTTATAGGCTTATAGGAAGGCACAACCATGTCCTTACCTCGTTGGATTTATGAAAGTACGTTGGGTTGAAGTTTCCTCTTAATAATACAGGCGTCGAGGTGATGCAAAGTACCTGAGGAAGGCAGTAGAATATCTCACCAAGGCTCTCAATTTGTCCATCGTCCTTTCATGATTTCAGATATCTGGAAAAAGGGAAGAGTCGTGCCACTGCTTAAACCCGGGAAACCAGTCAACGAAGGAGAGTTGTATCGTCCGATAACCTTTCTTTCCCTGGTAGCAAGGACACTTGAGGCCTTGCTACTCCCGCACTGTATGTACCACCTGACCCCAGTGAGGCATCAGTATGGGTTCCGTAAAATGCACAGCACAACAAGAGCACCAGATAACTTCGTGCCTGAACCGAAACCGCCCCTGTGTGGCAACCGTCCTAGTAGTGTTGGATCTGTCAAAGGCGTTTGACATCGTCATCCACTCCACGCTAATTGAAGACATTTAGGCTCCCTACCTTCGACAGGGACTTGAATTTTGGTCGGCGAATTATCTGAGTGGTCGACAATCACCAGCTATTTTCAGATACCAAACCAGCAAACCGAGGAAAATTAAACAGGCATCCGGGAATTGAATTGATGTCCTGTAAACGGTTATCTCTTCAAACTTTTTCGCTTCTTCACTGCCAGAAGGCTAACCCTCTCGCCTACGAAATCTTTGACAACCGTTTTTAACACCTGGATGAAGGAGGCCAGACTACCTTCGAATTACCATGGATAGTCTGTCATTGACAGGCCGGATCTAAACTATGAAGCTACAGACATGCTGGAATACGGCATGCCGGACCGCAACTGGATGCCTTATAATGTCGCTACAGCACTACGAGGCTCAAAATCTCCCGGTGAAAGAGCGCAAAACGATTCTCTGTAAGCAGTTCTGCCATAGACGCGGTCATCCGTTCTTCGACTCGGTACCCATGGAAGGAAAACGAGGAATGAAGAACTGGCGCAACTTCGCAAAGGAGACAGGCAACTAACAGGGTTGTAGTACAAAATAAGAAGAAGAAGAACAACATAGTAGGCTTAGGGCAAAGACACCCGCGATTAGTTTGCGTTATGAACCTTGGTGAGTTTTGAACGAATAATTTAGTGATGTCTATCATACTGTGGCGTGGTAGAATAAGATGCGATGACCTAACCGGAAATCTTTTAGAAATGGAATCAGTAAAAAGATGAAACATTCGATTTTCAGTCAGCAGCTAGCAAAACATCTGAAACTTGTCCGTATATAAAAGTAAATTGCGAATAAAAGCCGAATGTTTCAACCGCTTCAAATTGCAGTTTGAAAAGTAATCAGAAAATGCATTGCCCAAAAAAGTGCGTTTTTTGCTGGCTTTTATAAAACATATTTGGTTACTTACTTTTTAATATTTTGGTTTAAACAATTTGCGAGGAAAAATTCAGGTGTTTTTATGTATCACCATGCACCACTTCACGCAATTCCTTTCGCCAACAATTTGTTTATATTTACAAGTATGAAATTGCCACAAAGAACCAATAATTAAGTGCTATAAAAATTAATAACTGTCGCAAGCTAAATAGTTAGGCACAACAGTAGTTTAGAATGGTCACTTTAGTGCTGACCACAGCCAACCGTTGTGTGGCAGCCAAAATTGTTATGAGCCATTTTTGACTAATTACATATTTTGCCTACGGGTGCGAGTAAGTATGCCACATTCACGCATCAACTTAATGCTCTAATTATGAAGCTTGGCCACCGGCTATCGAATGTAAATTAACAGGGCAATTTTAGTTAGTTTCGAATAACGAAATATCAACATTCAAATGAAGAAATATCAAAAAATTAATAACTGTTATTAGTGAGTACGCAGTTTCTTTTTTAAAGCGTAGGAATAAATTAATATGTTGAAATGAACATTGCGCATACATTTAAAATATTGCGAAAATTTAAGATGAAAAACTATTGGATTTTATTTTTAAAGTTTGCTTTAAAATTGAAGGTAGTTTACCTATATTAGAGCATATAATTTTTTTTTGTAACTCCTATTCAATAAATTTTGTTGTTAAAAACAAAAACCACAAAAAAAAATTTTTGGCGCTTAGAGTTTTTTAACCCCTGAAATTTTCATCGCTCAAAGAGTTAAGAGGTAAAAAGATTTTCACACTGCCCTACTTGAAAATGGTGTAAAAGCAGCTAAAGGGAAATCGGGCAATAGGAAGTCGTAAAAATATGAAAGACTTAAGAAACGAACTTGGCTACGTACTATCGCAAGTTCGTTTTTCTGTGGTTGTGCTGGAAATAAGATGAAAAAATTTAACTTCAACGACAAGTATAATTGAAAATCGTTTTAAAATCCTGATTAAAATACACTTTTTCTTTACAAATTCAGCAATTTTGTAAGCAATTCTTATGCGAATACAGGTTTAATGAAATAAGCTGTACCTAAAAGTTTTTTCAAGTTTACAAAAAAAATCACACCTATTTAGTTAGAAATGCACAAATTTTCTCGTTCAAACATCAAAAACCCGCTTGATTCATTCAAAGCTAATATCGCCAATCGGAGACACATAGTATTTAAAAAGTTATGTTAAAAAAAAAACAAATAAATAAAATCTCAGCACAAATTTCGCACAATGCGTCAACGTGATTTATGTACTCAGCTGACCTCAAACTGCTCCTTTCTTGCGTATTCATGTACATGTCGCATAGAGCACACTTACATGCGATATAGTTACATATCTAGATACATTTCGTTACATGTGCAACACATGTACTGGCCATGTTGTCAGCAGTAGTCATCGTGTAACCTATCCGATTTTTCGGTTGCCTTCTTTTTTTTCTCTATTTTGCCATCAACTTTTTTCATTGAATATACTTTTCGTTGCACAGCCAAATTAAAAAAAAATTTACTTTATGGTAGCAGACGAGGTGTTAGACCCCGCATGCTAGATGTCTCCTAGTAAGTGTGCTGTTACATGGGAGAATAGATACTCGTGCCATAAAATATGTGCTCCTAAAAATCGCACTACAGACATCCATATATACATATGTATGTACTCGTGTATACATATGCATATGTGACACCCTGTGACAGTGACAACTAACAGGCGAATAGCCGCAAAACCTTAAAACACATTCATTATAGGCTTGGTGTTGTCGTGCGCATTTTTATGTGTGTTCGTAGTTGTGTTTACTGTTTTTTTTTTTAATATTTCTTTTTCGCATTTTTTCTAACACATTATTTATGCAATATTCATCACTGCATTTTTTGCTTTAACAAACATAAATAATGCATACATTTCGCTGGACGAAAGGGTTACGCTAGGGGTCCGGCTGCTGAGTTTGTCAATTAGTTGTGGTACATTTACGTCAGAGTAACGGGAGTGGAATCATTTTTATTTTGCTTGAAATTTAATGCTTATTGAGATATGTACATATGTATGTACAAGAAATAAGAAAAACTTATTCTATAAAAAATTTCTTCATTAGCCTTCCGATACACATACATACATACATATGTATATACATCTATGATATGAACTTGTCTTTAATAATGAGACCAGCTTACAGACTGAGGCCAGCGATAAGACTAAACAGTTTTCATGTCCCAGTAGATCAGAGAAAAAAATCCAGCAGATCAAAAAGTTTTGCTGCAGATCAATAAAGATGGAATTTAGAGATATACTTACTTACATATGTATTTGCATCGTCAGGCATTAAAATTATACTTCCAAAACAAACTTTCAGAGGAAAGTTTGAAACAACTAGAATGTCGAGCATGTGCATTGAGTATATAAATAAGAGCAGACCATTTGACCCTGCAGCCAATAGCTTCGCGAGGAACAGTTAATCTATACAGGGAGAAGAGGAGAGACGTACATTGCAAAAATGAAGAAAAGAGAAACAGAAAATGTGAGGCGAAGAGCTTCAAATACTGCCAGACAGGACTATGGCTCGAAAATTCTATCAGAAAATAAGGTAGGAATGGAATGGTGCTGGTTTCTGTAGAAATGAAGATGGAAATTTAGTAAAAGATGCCAAAAATACACTTGAGATGTGGAAGAAACATCTCTCAAAACAGGTGGCGCATTGATGAAGAAGAACCTGAATGAAGAACAATGCAAACATCGATGTAAGCAACACACTCGTTCGGCTCGGTTGGAATTTTAACCTTTTAAAAGGGGGCAGCTCTCTTCAAACTCCCCAAAAATATTCTAAATTTTCAAAATAAAGATGTCTTGACACTCTTTTGTTTGACACCAATATTTTAATATTTCATATAACTTGCATTTTCCGCTTACGTGCACAATTTTGCCAAAATACTGCCTCATGAAATGAATTTTGTACGAAACTATCACTTTTAGCTGCATTTTCGCTTAGCAGCCCTTTTCCTTTAACAGCCCTCCTTTTGAATAAGTTTTTTTTCGATTTGTAAAAAAATACATCGCTTACTGGCACACAATTTTTTTGAAGGTGCTTTTTGCTTACGACATATCCCACTTTTTGCGAACCTGTACAATGTCCCCCCATCTTAAACAAGTAGTGGCAATGAAGACCCAGAAGCAAATAATAATGCTCCTATAGCAACTTTTGTTAAAACGCCTTATTCGCATTAAATTCTTTTAAAAAAATTGCATGAAAAACAGTATTGAAACACAATAAATCACAGTTTTTGTTTTTCCGCTTAGCTGCACATTTCACTTAAGTGCATCAAATAATTTGCAGTGCGATCTGCAA